AAGCTGCCTGCAGCTGTGTGGTTTCGATGCGTAAACTCAGCGGATCAATGGCCAGCTGTTGCTGGTGGTGCTGATGTTGTTGGCGCCTCTGACAATTGGAAACCGTTGTTATGCCCGTGCTCTCCTCATCTGTGGGCGTGTGTTCCATCGGTGTTACCGCCAGACTACTGCAACCGGATGAAGTAATCTGCATACGTGCCAGACCCACATGTTCATTGAGATTGCAGAGGTTCGACGAGGATGACGATGAGGAGGGGGGTATGTTTGCGGCCGTGGTTACGCCCAGTTGCTGCTGTTGCCTTAGATCTTTGTGAAGATCAGCCAACGGCATGGTGGCGTTAAATGTAAACTGCTGGGACGCTAACGTGATGGCTGTTTTCTCTGTGCAAGGTTTTGGTGTATCAAGGAAATGTCAAATGGAAATCAAAATAAAAAACGATGAAGGCAATCCAACAGCAAACAAAAGTAATTAATCGAGTATTCTGCGTTTTTGCAATGATCAAACGACGAACCGACGACGACGACACCACACACACTAAACAATAGAAAACAACAAACAGACAACAGCGACGCGACCGAATTGTTTGAATGATGACCTCCACCGACCAGACCAAAAGGCGTAGGCGAGCGTGACTGGCCTTCAGTGGAAAAACATGAACTCAACGAACGCCGTTTATTTCCTTGGTCCAGTGTGGTCCGCCGTATGTTATTTCACGATTTGCAATTTCAAAATACTCTGCGACTCTACGACCAGCGTAATTTTTTGTTAAAGAATTCCGTTCGATTACACGAATATAATTGAGTATTAAAAAACAATACTTTTTCTTAGCTTGCAATCTTCATTACTATTTTTCTTTTTCTTTTCACTTATTGATGTTGTTCACAGACACAGAGAGACATATACTATGGAGAGAATATTTACAATTGTCAAACAATGACAATGGATAGGTTGGCTGAGGGTCTACAGTTAGTGCGAACGCAAACGTAACGTATTGTTAATGGAAATTACCACTACGTTACTCACTCCCGTTGTCTATATGTGTGTGTGTTGAGGTTTGTACACAACTAATAAAATATGTCAAAATCAGCTGTTAGTCATAGGCATTACGTTACTTGTTTGCAGTAACTCGATGAATCAGCTGTGTATGAATATTAACAGTCAACTGTAAGGTTGCATTTTCTCTCTCTTTTTGGTAGTGTTGCCAATCACAATTTGCCAATTTTGAAATGTATATGTAAGGAGGTCATTTATATACGTGTTTTGCATATGAACATAATTTTAAATTAATTTAATTGTTTCTTACTGGAATTTTCTTTTCACTTTTGTTTTGTTTATAATTATTGTTATTAGTATTGCAAATAGTTGCTTGTTGTTGTTTTTGACACTTACCTTGAACACATTTTCAATGCACAGCGATAAACGGAAACCACACTGACAACAAAATGTAGAAATAAAGTGAAAATGAGACCAGATGCAGCGGAAATTTCACTTTTGGCATTCAATAAATCGAACTGAAATGGGAGAATGAAGAGAATTTGTCATTGCGAATAAGAGAAATGAAAAAGATATTGAAAAATTGCGTGAAATATTAAAAAGTGTAAATCATATCCCAGAAGAAGGTAAGTATAATTATCTGAACATTACACTGTTCCAAATGTTGTAATCGTCGGGTAAAAACGTCCTTAAATTCGGCCGGGTCGAACTTTTTGTATATAACTCCTATGAGGTGCCTAAAATCGTATGTAAATATTGGTCCTAGATCCACCTTCAGTATACTGATTGTGATATATCAACTAAGTCGATATATACATGTGTGCTCGTCCGTCCGTCTGTCCATTATAATTTGTAAACACGACATAGGCCACAGTTATGGACCATTCTTTTGCACGTAAATTTAATATTTAGGGGATGAAATGGATCAAAAACTTTATTTTTCTGGTCTCTATAGATCCCCCAATTTTTATCTGAACATCACGGAATTTTACACAGAGAAATGGATATGACCATGGAATAAGCATGACCGTTGTTGATGAAGATCCGTCAACATTTAAGCGGGTCAAATGGGCCAGACTTCGAATATGGCCAAAAAAATTTGGGTTATGGCCAAGGACACCGCCAATAATTTGCATATTGGGGATGGAATGGACCGACAACTTTATTTTTGTCTAGTTATCTAGACGCCACAAAAGCTGAACATCACAAATTTTCCAAGAGGACCAACATTTTTCTGTACATTTTTCTCCGGGAAATCATGATTCGGAAAAATGCAACAGAGGAGATGCTGACTTATAATAGATCAAGAGTGCGCAGAAACTTAGATCTCAGTGGTAGTTGTGTATGGTATCATATGGTCGGCTCCGTACGACAACAGGTTTTAACACCCTAGAACTTCGTTTGGATAATGATTCAATGCCTTAACCGATATATCCCATTGTCTACATCAAACCTCGTAAAAGTAGTAACGATGTATACGTTACATTTCCAAACTCTGTCCTAAATATTATAAGGCCAATTTTTTTTTCAACAGGCAGGCGGTCATGGCTTAGTGGATTCCAAAGAATATTTTGAGATGTTAATAACGGAATGACAAAATTAATATACCTTATGGTATAAAGGATGGAAACAGTTCCATACCCTCGGATATTCCCATTAAAATTTTAAAATTTTTAAGAAAAGGCAAAGGAAATCGATTACGTCTTAAGCTTAAACATTTCATATCATTGGAAGAACGAGACGTGCCTTAAAGACACTGAGTTCCAATACATATAGTAATGAGAAGTGGTAGGTGCTAGTACCGCAAAAGAAGATAGAGCTGAGCTGACAATCATATAATATTGAAGACTTTTTTTATATTATTTCTCAGACAGCTTCCGAATAAATATCCTCTATGATTGGTCCATAGCAATCCGAGATTAATTTTTAATGGAAGTTCAGTGTGATTATTAGTTACTGGTAGAATGTATTTATATATCCTTCTGTGGTACCGGTTATTATGTCTTTGTGCATATGTTTGTAACCGGCAATAGGAATCGAGATAGACCCATGGTTCCTCTTAAGAATATGCATAGATTTACTTTCTGAGTGGATTTATTCACGTCGTTTGTCCGTCCTTGTATTTTTGTGAGCAAAGTACAGGCCGCATTTATAATCCGATTTGGATGAAATTTGGCACAGGTCACTTATTTAGCCCAAGGACGAACCCTATTGAAATTGAAGAAAATCGATTTAGATATAGCTCCCATATATAGTTTAGTCTTATTTTAGGTAAATTGTGCACCAAACTCCCAAAATTTGTCCTATTGAGACAAAATTTTACACAGTGTACTAGATTAGGTGCACTTTGATGTCTGCGAAGTTTTGTGGAAATCGGTTCATATTGAGATATAGCTCCCATATATAGTTTCGTCCGATTTTGGGTAAATGGTGCACTAAACTCGCAAAATTTGTCCTATTGAGACAAAATTTTACATATCGTACTAGATAAGTTGCACTTTAATGTCTGCGAAGTTTTGTTGAAATTGGTTCAGATTTAGATATAGCTCTTATATAGTTTCGTCCGATTTTGGGTAAATGGTGCACCGAGGAGCCAACGTCTGTTCCTTATACACGTGACAAAATCGTTGACAGCGATCTGTGCCGCAGCATACCAAACGATATATGCCACGGTTGCTCAATTAGGTCCAGATTTACATATAGCTCCACATACATTATTTTGCTCGATTTCATACAAATGGTAAACAAAACAATCCGATTGACATACAGTTGTTTTTATATATTTCAGACACATTTAGTTTCGCCCCATTCCTTTTCAATGGTCCTCTAAAGATTATATGTCTGTTCTATCTAACTCTCTAAGTAGATTAGAGACCGCGATTAGAATGACGGATTCGTAAGACAAACACTAAAGCCCCTAAAATCATTTTAAGTTCACTTAAATTGAACATTTTTATTTCTGTAGATCGATATATTGGTAGTCGTTGACTCAGCTATTGCTTTACAGTACGAATTTAGGTAGTTTTGGATAGTAGACGTCACATTCGTGTAAGCGATAGTGAGTTGAAATTCTTCCTTTTATTTTGAAACACCTAAAAGTGTTTTAATTCTGAAAAATATTACAGTTAACTTACCTCTTCCTTCGATTGGTTAACATCACGTGATAGTCCAACTCCCGATATGGCCAAGGCCAAAGTACTCGTGGCAATGCACACCAAACTCAAAGCCAAAAATGATGTTTGTGTCTTTCGGAGACCCACGACACCCAATGACCCAGTCACCGCAGCAATCAAGCCCGTCCATATACCACAGCCAGCTGTGGACAACGCTGCTTCGCGTACAATTAACAAAGAACCCAATGCCACCAATGATATGGCCAACAACAACTGTAATAGACCCAAAATAATTTGTACTGGAAATGCCGAGCAACAGGCGGTGCTACTTTTCGGTTTAAATGAGGCAGATTTCTTTTTCAGGGATTTTACCGATTTCACCGAACTGCGATCATCCTTGATGAGTTCTGGTGGAAATCTTTGTTTTTTGCTAATTCTCGAATCTAATGTTGCTGCTCGTGAGGCAATGGTTTCCTGTAGCTGTTGCTTGAATTCTTCGTGGGATATTAATTTGGGTTTCTTCAAGCTACCATCCTTGACGGTGTCCACCAATGTGGCAGCTGTTAGTTTTAATGGCTGTGGTGGTTTCTCATCATAGACGGGACTGGAATAAATGTGACTTTGTGCATCCATTGGTTTGCCATTTGTCATGGACGATTTGTTGTTGTTGCTGTGGTTGGAATTTTGTTGTTGTTGCTGCGGTGTCGTCGGCATTAATTCATCATCACTTCCGTTTGTAGTTTGTTGTTGCAACATGGCTATTTCGGAATTGGTTAAACTGTTGTGCATATTTGTGGTGTTAGTACTCTGTTCAATTGTGGTCTGCATCATTTCCTCATGGTTGTTGTTGGTCATCGATGGTGAAGAAGAAGAAGAAGCATTAACATTACCACCCATTGCCACAGCAATATTGCCCATACTGTTATTGTTGCTATTACTGCTGTGGTGGGTTGCCCGATCGACAATGGTATCCATGCTGCCCGTTGTTGAGTCATGTGAGTCAATCGTGCGTGCCGGCGATTCAGATTGCCGGTTTGTATCACTCTGATTAGTTGTGGTGATGATGGAATGATTACCATTTGCCTCGTTCATTTTGTTGTTTGTTGCTGTTGTTGGTGTCGATGGTGTGAAGCTGTGTGTTTTAGCTGCTTTGACTATAGGCTATGCCGGTTGTTGTTGTAGTATTTCCAATGCAGGAAGAGAGTTTTGCGGTCAATGATATTGTATTTTATTTGGCACGGATCAAATGTTTGTTATTATTTGTTGTTGTATTTTGTTTTATGGATAGTGCGGGGGTGTGGAATCGGTTAGCAGATTTAATCATTGGTGCGGTAATTTAAGACATTGATTTCCTGAAACGAGAAAAACGGAAGAAGAAATGGCGGTAAGAAGGGTGAAATAAAAAGATAAAGAAGAAAGGGTGGGTACAAAATAAACAAATAAAAGTTTGTAGCAAAAATAAGTTTTCAGGGACTGAAAAAAATAAGGGGAAGATCTCGGATTTTTTGTAGCCTCAGACTTGGATTTTTTAAATGCTATTTTCCAAAGTATTTTTATAGCCTCAGGTGTGGATTTTTAAAGACTATTTTTCAAGGGTTATTATGGCCTCAGGCGTGGATTTTTTTAAGACTATTTTTCAAGGGGTTTTACTGCCTCAGGCTTGGTTTCTTAATGACTATTTTTCAAGGGTTTTTATTGCCTCAGGCGTGGATTTTTTAAAGATCATATAGACATTCTTTAAAGAATCCACGCCTATTGTTGAAGGGATGTTTGGAAAAAATTCTTTAAAGAATCCACGCCTATTGTTGAAGGGATGTTTGGAAAAAATTCTTTAAAGAATCCACGCCTATTGTTGAAGGGATGTTTGGAAAAAATTCTTTAAAGAATCCACGCCTATTGTTGAAGGGATGTTTGGAAAAAATTCTTTAAAGAATCCACGCCTATTGTTGAAGGGATGTTTGGAAAAAATTCTTTAAAGAATCCACGCCTATTGTTGAAGGGATGTTTGGAAAAAATTCTTTAAAGAATCCACGCCTATTGTTGAAGGGATGTTTGGAAAAAATTCTTTAAAGAATCCACGCCTATTGTTGAAGGGATGTTTGGAAAAAATTCTTTAAAGAATCCACGCCTATTGTTGAAGGGATGTTTGGAAAAAATTCTTTAAAGAATCCACGCCTATTGTTGAAGGGATGTTTGGAAAAAATTCTTTAAAGAATCCACGCCTATTGTTGAAGGGATGTTTGGAAAAAATTCTTTAAAGAATCCACGCCTATTGTTGAAGGGATGTTTGGAAAAAATTCTTTAAAGAATCCACGCCTATTGTTGAAGGGATGTTTGGAAAAAATTCTTTAAAGAATCCACGCCTATTGTTGAAGGGATGTTTGGAAAAAATTCTTTAAAGAATCCACGCCTATTGTTGAAGGGATGTTTGGAAAAAATTCTTTAAAGAATCCACGCCTATTGTTGAAGGGATGTTTGGAAAAAATTCTTTAAAGAATCCACGCCTATTGTTGAAGGGATGTTTGGAAAAAATTCTTTAAAGAATCCACGCCTATTGTTGAAGGGATGTTTGGAAAAAATTCTTTAAATAATCCACGCCTATTGTTGAAGGGATGTTTGGAAAAAATTCTTTAAAGAATCCACGCCTATTGTTGAAGGGATGTTTGGAAAAAATTCTTTAAAGAATCCACGCCTATTGTTGAAGGGATGTTTGGAAAAAATTCTTTAAAGAATCCACGCCTATTGTTGAAGGGATGTTTGGAAAAAAAATCTTTAAAGAATCCACGCCTATTGTTGAAGGGATCTTTGGAAAAAAATCTTTAAAGAATCCACGCCTATTGTTGAAGGGATCTTTGGAAAAAATTCTTTAAAGAATCCACGCCTATTGTTGAAGGGATGTTTGGAAAAAATTCTTTAAAGAATCCACGCCTATTGTTGAAGGGATGTTTGGAAAAAATTCTTTAAAGAATCCACGCCTATTGTTGAAGGGATGTTTGGAAAAAAAATCTTTAAAGAATCCACGCCTATTGTTGAAGGGATCTTTGGAAAAAAATCTTTAAAGAATCCACGCCTATTGTTGAAGGGATCTTTGGAAAAAATTCTTTAAAGAATCCACGCCTATTGTGAGAGGGGAGATTATTTTTCTTTGCTTTTTCATGGTAGGAGGGGTTTTCCTAGTGTGGGCAACTAAGCCCACGCCTCAACCAATTTTTTATAGTTTTTATGGGTGTACTCCCGGCACATATAAGCCCACTATTTCAACGGGTGATGAAAATAGCTACCTCAGGTGACACCGCGGGAAGGTCAGTGTCCACAATTGAGATGAAAAAGGAATCCTCCACGAATCAGATGGAAAGACCAAGTAAAAAACAACATCTTGGAACGTGGTTTTCCAAATATTCTTAAAAATCATATGAATAGATTTTCCATTAAAAATATAATATTTTATGTCAGTTTTTAATTTAACTTTAATTAGTGCCTATCACTCCGCTGGCTAATACATTTCGTAATTGCCATAAATTGGTTAATACCAACAACAATGTCGGCACACTTTACAATCTAATTTTACAACAACAACAATAAAAATTCTAAATTAACTATTACATCAGGTTAAGCTTCAAAATTTGTCACGACTTATCGCATGATCCTCGTTTCATCATTTCGTAAAATGCCAGTTGACTTAGAATGGTGGCAAAATGAATTTCGAAAAAAAGAAACTAAAACACAGTCAAAACTCCATATTAGGAACTTTGGAAAAATAAAAACTCAAAGAGAAACAATACAATACAATTATAAAAAAATAAATCTAAACTTGATTCTTTTGAATTTTTCATAAAAGGTTTGACTGTATTTCCCTTCCGAAATACAGAACACTCGTTAGGTTTTTTGTTGCGATTCACATGTTTCCATTTCAATTATTTGCAATTATTTTGACAATTCAACAACAGAAAAATGCCAGAATACCAAAAAACCAAGTGCGGAATTACACAAGACAACAACAAACCATCCAAACCAATTCGAAACCACCAAGACATTCTATCGAAATAAAAAAAAAAACAAATTCTCATAAAGCAGTCAGGAGTCAAAAAGTCCGAATTTGTTGTTGTTATTTGAAACAATTGTTTTTGTCATTTGCCAGCTATTCTCATTCATTTAAAGTGGAGATTTGGTTCAAACGCATGTACATTCTGCCTGTCATTGTTGTTATTATTTTTTTGTGATTTAATCTGAAACAATTATGTTATGATTAATGATTAAAAATTCAAACGAAAACAATATTGGAAAAAGGCCAATTTGACAGATGACAAGTCTGAACTATTTTTTGTAAAAAATAACAACAACAATAGAAGGGGTTAAGAATAAACAATTATATAATAATTGGATAACAAGCAGTAATCACAATGGCAGGCTGGTTGTCTGGCGTTACAATTTATTGTCTGAGAATTTTGTTGTGAGAAGGTGTTTTGAGGTTTGAGGGTACCCAAGGCAGTCATAGTTGATAATGATTTCATTAATCATTTTTTGGAAATAATAAGGGATTAGTTCGAAAAATTTTCTTATCTTTAACAAGAATATTTTTCAAAATTAAGTTGTTGGGAGATAATCTGGCGGATTTGAAAGGTATAAAAGGTCAAATGAGAATTTGAAAAAGAATAATTGGCGGAATTTAATTTTTTTCAGAGAATAATCCGATTAGAATATTTTAAAATAAGCTAGAGTTTTTAAAGACTATTTTTCCAAAGACCAATAGGCGTGGATTTTTTAAAATAATATTTTTTCAAAGACCAAATGTGGGTGGATTTTTTTAAAGAATATTTTTCCAAAGATCAAATAGTCGTGGATTTTTTAAAGAATATTTTCCAAAGACCAAATAGGCGTGGATTTTTTTAAAGAATATTTTTCCAAAGACAAATAGACGTGGATTTTTTAAAGAATATTTTTTTCAAAGACCAACAGAGGCGTGGATTTTTTAAAGAATATTTTTTCAAAGACCAACAGAGGCGTGTTTTTTTAAAGAATATTTTTTTCAAAGACCAACAGAGGCGTGTTTTTTTTAAAGAATATTTTTTTCAAAGACCAAGAGGGGTGTGTTTTTTTAAAGAATATTTTTTTCAAAGACCAACAGAGGCGTGGATTTTTTTAAAGATTTTTTTTCAAAGACCAACAGAGGCGAGGATTTTTTAAAGAAGATTTTTCCAAAGACCAAATAGGCGTGGATTTTTTTAAAGAAGATTTTTCCAAGGACCAAATAGTCGTGGATTTTTTTAAAGGAGATTTTTCCAAATACCAAATAGGTGTGGATTTTTTTAAAGAAGATTTTTCCAAATACCAAAAAGGCGTGCATTCTTATCTTTAACAAGAATATTTTTCAAAATTAAGTTGTTGGGAGATAATCTGGCGGATTTGAAAGGTATAAAAGGTCAAATGAGAATTTGAAAAAGAATAATTGGCGGAATTTAATTTTTTTCAGAGAATAATCCGATTAGAATATTTTAAAATAAGCTAGAGTTTTTAAAGACTATTTTTTTCAAAGACCAACAGAGGCGTGGATTTTTTAAAGAAGATTTTTCCAAGGACCATCTGACCAATAGGCGTGGATTTTTTAAAGAAGATTTTTCCAAGGACCATCTGAGGTATAGGCGTGGACTTTTTAAAGAAGATTTTTCCAAATACCAAATAGTCGTGGATTTTTTTAAAGAAGATTTTTCCAAATACCAAATAGGTGTGGATTTTGTTAAAGAAGATTTTTCCAAATACCAAAAAGGCGTGCATTTTTTTAAAGAAGATTTTTCTAAATACCAAAAAGGCGTGCATTTTTTTAAAGAATTTTTTTCAAAGACCATTGCTCAAAAGGCATTGATTTTTTTAAAGAATTTTTTTCCAAAGACCATTGCCCAAAAGACGTGGATTTTTTAAAGTATTTTTTTCCAAAGACCATTGCCCAAAAGGCGTAGATTTTTTTAAAGAATATTTTTCCAAAGACCATTGTCCAAAAGACGTAGATTTTTTAAAAAATATTTTTCCAAAGATCATTGTCCAAAAGGCGTAGATTTTTTCAAGAATATTTTTCCAAAGACCATTGCCCAAAAGGCGT